AAACAACACAAAGCAGGGGCATAAAAATCCATAAACATAGCAGTTGAGACAATGACAGCACACGTGCAATCATACAGAGGCATCCATTTCTTTAAAAACTTGTGTTGATTAAAAGAATAAATCCAATAGCAATGAAAAGAAGAACACATAATTTTAAAATACTGGCTGCAAGAGATGTGAGTGATACCATAAGCTATAAATTCTACAATATCGATTGATAAATTAATTTTTCCTTTTGTCATTACTTGAGTTCTATCAGACCCCTAACCAAAAGTTCCTATCTTTATCAATCAAAGAACAACTACTTACTAAAAAAATATAACAGGCAGGGCAAATTATCACCAAAAAAACAGAAACCAAAAAATATGAGCTATGAGAGCAACCAGGAGGTTTGCGGTAACAAAAGGGATAACATAAAAAGAATTCAATAAGAAACCACTTTCATTAAATGCAAAAATAGTCAAAAACTAAGAAAAACAATTAATCAAATAGCTAATTTCATGGAAAAACTCAGAACAACTAAAGAAACTAAAACAACATAAACTGTGTTGTTAAATAAGATCAGAGGAGAACCAGAATTCCAGAACTCCCAGAAGGTGAGATGGACCGAACACAAAGTGTAGGGACTTGGATAAGAAGCGGAAGAGCGAAGGCTAAGGCCAGGCGGAAGGTATCAAGGCGTGCAGCGCACCAAAGGGATGAGACCACGCGCTGAGCATCGAGGATTGGCAGAGTGGCAGGCGGCGGGGCTGGATTTGCGATTTGGCGAACGTGATAGTTCATCGATGCTGAGCCACAGGACAGAGCTAGGGCAGCGACTTCACTACTGGCGGCCTAGTGACAAAAAGATCGAAGGATTTCTCTTCTTCCTTGCGACCTACAATACATCAAGCTCAGGAGGAGAGGAGGAGCTGCGAACCCTAGACTGAATACATCGAACAAAATGAGAGCAAATGAATCGGGATAGACATCTGGTGTTCTTTTATGTGGGTGAGCGACAAACAGAGGATAGCAAACGGAGACGTTAAAAGGGCAAGTACTGTAGCAACGTAAAAAGGGACGAAGTAACTCTCTACCCGCTCTTTAAGTAAATAGGGGATATATATATATATACTATATATATACTATATATATATATATATATATATATATATATATATATATATATATATATTATATATATATATATATCAATTCTAATAGATCTGAAGCTCTCTCCACACCTCATCTCCTTTTTGTTCAGTTGTTTTTCCCTTAACACACTCAGCACAAATATCATAATTTGAGGAGTCAAGGGAATCAAGAATTCCATCAGGCACAAGTCTCTGAATTCTTTGTTCAAAAATATATCCTAAATGCTTGTGCCAAAGTGATAATGAAATCTCAACATTTAATTTTCTTTTACTACCCGAGTACCCATGTACTTACATGCAAGGTTTCATTATATGAGGTAATTATTTCAAGTGGATATTGATTATCATTAACTGATAAAATACTAGTACCAATAAGTTTTGAATCTTGACATAGACTAAACTAACTAGTAACTATTTCCAAATGAACAAGAATAACCAAATTTATTCAAAGTAGAACTAGAAATTATATTTCGCCTAAATGACAGCACAACAAATGTCTCTTCAAGTCCAAAAAAAAAACCAATCTTTAATAATATCCTAAAAACAACTATAGCGGTTTTAGGGGTTCGTGGAGAGTTCCCGGTGCGAGAAGGGGGTTGGGCTCCCAACCATGGGATTTCCGACATAGGGTTTTGCCAAACTTCTTTGAAAGGGATTCGACATACAAGCGTCGCGGGCATAGATTCATGGACGCTGAGAAGCCAAATGTCCAAAAACAGAGGACGAATTTCAGAGATGAATATCCACGATGGGTATCCTCATCTTTCATCCATTGAAGCCAGGGCTGGAATCCTCTCTCAACAATGGGCATTCGTCGCAGGCACAAAAACAGAGACGAGTCTCAGAGACTACACTGGTTGGAAGTGTGGAGGCTAGGAAGGGCATCGATCTAGAGCTAACGGTGAGTTAAGGTATGACAGATGCACACCTCGAGAATATTCTGGGAAGAGTCCAGCCAATTCTTCATCTTCAAGGCCAATTTAAAAAATTAAAATAAAAAGTAAATTCTTTTCCTTTGATGTGGCTCCTTCAATTATGTATATGTGTCAGATTAAGGGCTCTTACTCTCAAACCATTTCCCTATATATGGATGGTGTAGATTGGTTGTGCAAAGCATTTAGTTTGATTAAATCTGGCGATTCTGCTGCCTTCGTTAGGAATGAGGGATACCGTAAAATTCATATATCATTTGGGAAAAATGAATGTGGAGGTTTTGTTTGTTTGGTTGATTGAGATATGAGGGTAGAAAAACTATCATTATTCCTGAAGGAAACAAAAGGAGAGGGATTCACACTGTTTTGCTCTAATTTATAGAACCGGCCAGACATACTGTGTCAAATTTCAAAGGACCATATAAGGACAACTTTTGAGGACCCTGTAGACATCTACATGAGTACGGCGGAATATTGTTTTGAAGAGTTTGCATCTATTTTCTCCTTACTTCTTCGAGAGGATTTGTTTAATCTTGAATGTAATTCTAACAACTCTTTAAGGGAGGTTGTTTTGGTGCACGAGAGTATAGTCACAACACCAGGAGATGATGAAGTTAATGATGAGGGAGACGAACTTGAAGACACTCAAGAAGAAAAAGGGAATATTGATAGTGTTTTGGTGGAAATAGATGAGAAAAAAGATAAACGTTGTAGGCAGACATAGAGAAGATTTCTCAAGGGAGCCCAAAGATGGAATCTGGGAAGATAGATATTCAGATGGAGGATATTCAAGAAGTATCACCTCTCCAGGTATCCTTTCCTTCAAGTTCGGATGTGTTGGGAGAGGAATTAGAAGCAACGCCTATAAGAAGGCATCTTACAGACCGTGAACTGTTGGACCGTATGGCAGATCCTACTTACTCTATTAAGGATCCCAAGTGGAGTTCATCGAGTTCTATTTTGATTCCTAGAAGGAGTACTCGCCTTAAGGAAAAAAAGTTGACTCAGAAGAAGTAGGGTTGGTTTTTCGGTATTTGTTGGCCTCCTAGTTGCTTGGGGTTTTTTGTTTGCGAAAACTGATCTTTAGGGACATCTTGTTGGCGGATCTTCTTTTCGGGCTTCTCTTTTCATCCGAGCGGTGGTGCTACGGTGTTGGATTTTTCTTGCTTATTTTAAATCATTCTCCTTTCATTAGAGCTAGTTGTTTCGTTTTTGCTTTAGCTTTGAGCTAGTACTCATTAGCGTTTGTACTCTTCTCATTTTTTAATAAAGTTTTTCTTTTCCAAAAAAAAAACTAAAAACAACTATAGCATCAACTTCAACCCGCTTTCCATCAACAACATAGTTGTATCTTTCACCATCAATTGGTTTTTGGCAGTTCAGGCAACCCTGCATAGATACTTATGTGAGTAGTAGCACCGAAATCTACCCACCAAGTGTCTTTGGGTACCGAAATTAAATTAACCTCAAAACAAGCAAGAGCAAGAGACATACACTTTTTCGCATGTCAGGCGTGGTACTTATTGAAGTTCTTTTTCTTGTGATTAGTCCCTTTGCAAAAGAAGCATCCGGATTCCTTAGTTTCTTCCTTAGTTTCCTTATGATGCTTTCTTTGAAGTCCCGAATTAACGGCTTCCTTAATTTTCCTTTTCTTGTTGCCCTTATAGAGGTAGATGTCAAATGAGCACTTTCAGTCTTATCTTGCTTTATTCTTTCTTCCTCTTGAACAGAATGAGAAATGAGCTCATTGAGAGACAATTTCTTTTTAATCCAGTTGTAATTGACTTTAAATTGATTAAATTGAGAAGGAAGAGAGATCAAAACTAAATGCACAAGCAATTCCTCAAGTAAAGTAAGCTTTAGTGCACTTAGTTTTGAAGCAATATGAGACATTTCCAAAATCTACTCTCATATGTTCCCTTTGCCTTTATACTTCTTGGAAACAAGAGTGCTCAAAAGAGTACTATTTTCCACCTTTTCGTTTTTTAGCAAAATGCTTTTCAAGTTCGGCAAAGAATGATTTGGCATCAGTCTCATCAAAGACATGCATTGTGCTCCTGAATGATTATGGAATTGCACGAGTCATGATCATTAGACTCATGCGGTTTTAGCACATCTCCCTCTTTCACCAAGGGTAGATGTGTCCTTAAGAGCGGCGGGTTTCTCAGTCCGAAGTGTAAGGTCTAGATCCATGCAACCAAGAACAATCATGACGTTTTCTTTCCATTCCTTAAAATTCGTGCCGTTATGCACAAGGATGCTATTAATATTAGCAGATATTGTAGCAAAAATTGTTGGCTAAAAGAGAACAAAAATAATGTAAATGATCGACATGCTCTAGAAATTGAAATTAACTTGATAATTAATTTTAAATATTAGCAATCACCATCACAAGATACCTAGCGCAACATCTAATCTTGTCTTTGGACATAAATTAGACTTGCAAGTGGTACTCTTGGTGTAATAAAACTTTGATAATAAAATCATGTCAGATACTAAGTCTTTTTTTGGACCGACTTAATATTCACATGAAAACCTCATAATGGTCACAACTTTTATTATCACAAATGTACTTAAATTTCAGTCAAATAATAACCTTCCTTTGGGCCAATTATTATTCGCATAAAATGAGAAAGTACACAATCATCTTAATATATGAGTTAATTAATTTCAAAAAGAGAGACTACTTTTGCAGCATGTTGTGTCAATTAACCAACCCAAATATTAGACACGCTAATATTAATTCGAAAATCTTAAAAATTAAACTGGACAAATTCATAAAACTGGACAAAATCTTAAAAATAAAACTGGACAAATAAAACCCAAATACTTGTCCAGTTATTTTGTTGGAGGTGTAAATTTGGTAGTAAAAGAATTACAACGGCTAATTGTTTGATGTTGAACTTGGTCATAATATTTGTGTTACTTTCCAGGTTATCATTTGAAACTGCCACTTATTACTCACTTTGAACCAATTCATGTAACTCTTGAGACATATTTGGTAAGATTTTCTCTCTACGACCCTTTTCATTCGTTCCTAGAATTGTTATGGTGTTCACGTGCTTAACTAAAATTCTTATTGGCTGTTTGCTAAACTGTAGGACGAAAGGAGGTGTAATGATTAACTTTGAGAGAATTGAGGTATAATCCTAGAATTGGGGACTCTTTTTTCATATCCAGTTTAATTTGCTGATTATATGTGGTATGTTAAGCCATAGCTATTAATCAACTGCCTTCGTAAGGACTATGCGCATGATACCCTGCTCAAATATTCATCAGTATGAACTATGTAATCAGGCTCTCTGGATCAAATCATGAACCCTGAAGATGAAATTATGCTTACTGAAGGTTTCTTACCTTCTATTCAGTGGTTATCTGGATCAAATCTATTGCTCCTCATAAAAAACCCTCTATGCAAATAGGTCCTTAGCTTCTGTGGTTATCTAGTGATGCTTTATTGCTTTAGTTAAGTTATTTAACTTGTGGCGTACATCTTCAAATTTATTTTCTCTAAAAGATTTAATGTGCTTACAATTTACTATCACATTATCTACCAAAATGTTCAATTTATCATATCTTGGTGGCTTAAACGATTTGTTATTATCCTCAGAAATAAGGTGCTGAGTTTCTCATCTACTGTTTGTTAAGACTCCAATTTAGAAAAATCTAAGTTATGATTTCCATTATATTACTAGTTAAGATAATAAACTGCCCCATAGCCCCACTATATTGTATAGCAATATTAAAATACAAACAAAAGAGATGAATCATATAGATAATAAAGTAATTCATAACTCCGAAGGAAATAAGGATGAAACAAAGCGTTATTGTCCACTTTTATAAATGTTTTATCTTAATCTTAATTGTCCATATTTCTATTTGATCATGCAGGAATGCTTGATGATACTGTACTAAAAAATGCAGGCTGCATTTAGTTGTAGAAGGTTCCATTTTTGTATGATATTTGTACTCACGTCATGCGGAACTAAGGATACAAGTATCTGACTTTCTGCGTTTATTGCTTTCTTAGCTTCCTTCCTTTATGCGTTTGCCAGACTGCTACTGAGACTTTGTGTTTATGTATTCCAAGTTTGCGTTGTGCTCTTCCTGATGGTATGCTTTCTGCATTTTAAGTTTGTGAAAAGCTTCCCAGGTCTGCGTTACGCTTTGCGATAAGCTTCCCAGGCCTTTGTTCTGCGCTTAATGCTTTCTTCGAGTAACAAGGATGACTGAATGAGCCGATTATTCAAGGAGGGCTTCATTTAGACGATCATTAAGTATCACTAAGGGTAAATTAGATATTTGATTTATTATTAATTATTTTTATTTAATTCGGTGGTTGTGTTTAGTAAAAAGGGGGCTGCATATAGAATCACCCATATAACATACAATTAAACCCAATAAATAATATATTAGGAATATATTACATCTAATGTGAGTCCATTTATCTAACAGGGTCCTATAATCCTATTGGCCCTAGTCCACTTACACCAAATTTAGAAAAAGTTAATGTAAATGTGAAAAAAGTGTGAATATTCATCGAGAAATAAATCTTTTTACTAGCTTATTCGAATTTATACTTACGTCAATGTCAACATTCACTAGTTCTACTCAAGTAATGCAAACTCTAAATACCATATGATTGAACCATTTTATGGATAGGAGTTTCTCATATTTAATGATCAGTGCAATGCTTTGCTTTATCTCTATGGATGAGATGAGCTCTCGTTTGAATCTAAAATCGAAGTACATTTTTTAATTCATGTATGTTTGAAATGAATTAAAGTTCTCTTTTCGTAAAATGCACATGGTGACATGGATATATGCATAGACTGTTTTTGTTTTAAAATAACTGTCTCGTTGAACCATGTATAGATATTGTTAGAGATAAGAATTGGACATTTGAGTGGTTGTATATGACACCTCGTCACTACCTGGTTGAAGTTTTAGAGAATAAGCGTGTGTCAAAGTATAGCTTTTCATTTTAAAGATGCAATTTAATTATACAATAATGCTTATTATGTCATATAGTTATGTCTAGTTATGTCTAGGGGTTGGGCTGGGTGTTTTGGGGGGGTTTGGGGGGTGGGAGGGGGGGGGTCGGGGGTTAAACATCAATTTTATTATATTTGTCCATGAACATCAATTTAAGTGCCATTTGGGGGATCTCAAAATGTTGGCCCGTTAACTAAATTATTTAGGACACGTTTACTTCACGGTTTACTAAACGGTGTTTATTAAGACCCGCGTTAATAAGCGGCGCATAAAATAAGCAATGTTGTAAGATCATGTTTACTTCAAAGGGTTCAAAACACCGTTTAACATTAAAATGTCTAAAATAACTCTATACATATATAGACAAGAAAAACATTCATGAACACAAATATATAATATAATATGTGTGGTTACCTCATACGTGTACCCATACCCCTAAGCCCTACCCAGCCCCTACACCCCGTACCCTATTACCAATGCCATTGCTGAGCTCTTATGGATTCAAAAAAAATTACGGTAAATTAGTGCATCGCTTTCTCGTGCTCCTACTTTGTTCTCTGACAATCTTAGTGTAACACCCCGAAAATTTGAGATACTTTGAGAAATAAAAAATATTGTTTTTCATATCATTTAGAAGGTCTGCACTCTGTAGATATATATTTTTATGATGTTTGGTTTAGTGTTTGAGATCAAGGGGAGGCTCAAACGATGCACAAACGGATCGGAGCAAATTTTGACTTTAGTGCATGTGGAGGTTACACACGGCGTGTGTGGAAAGAGAATCAAGGGGCACAGCTACAACCAGCCACGCATGGCGTGTGTGGCAATGCGCACGGCGTGCGTAGCAAGCATGCACAGTTTGCGTCCCTAATTTCAACCGAGTTCGACCAACTTCGGCAATTCGCTATAGATGCATACCTAATTTGAATTTCTTCATTCCAAAAATCATATGTATTCAATACAGGGAGTTGACCACTGGTTTACGATGTCCAGGTTAGGAGTAATCTCACACTGAGAATCTGCCAGAGTGTAAATAGCACAAACTCGCCTTCAAATTGGAGAATCACTAGCTTTTGGAACAATGGGCTTTTTATACAAGGGAGGATTGTTTTGAGAACCCCTAGATATGTAAAAATGTAAATGTGAGGAATGTAGAAATCTAAGGCTAGGATTAAAAGTTTCATTTTAACGAGATCTCATTTTAAGAGAGATTCTCACTAAAAACCTGTATATATATGTAGCATTGTTCTTTGCCTTTGCGCTTAGTGCCCAGTCCTTGTACTTTGCCTTTAGATAGCAACATTTTCCGT